GGGTAATGAGTTTCCTTTGTCTAAGAGGAGCTTTAAAATGCTGGCATTTCTACTTCATCATCATTTCTATTTAGATTTAGCACCTCAGGACTGCATGAGAAAAGGTGGTAAACTCGTAAAATAATCTTCAAACAGCGGAATATCATCTCCTAGATAAGGAAATACAATCCGTCTCCGTGTCACTCCGGCTGTAAATCTGATGTCTTCTCCCGGCGCTTATTACCGTCCCAATGCTGAGTCATCGGTCCTCTAAGGGCATCATCTAGAGCTCTAATTTGGTGGGCCGAAACGTAACGCATTGTATAAAATCAGCAAGTCCATAATTTTGTAATTACTTTACGAATAACAGGGTTTTATTTCGCAGGGCGTTCGGCTATCTGGAGAAAAATCCGCGGTTTTACGATCTAACTGGCTGTTATGTGCAGATAAACACTGTTATTTTACTGGGGCAAAGTGGCTTATGCCTGCACGGCTCCGTTACAGCCTCTAATGGCTCAGTCATGGCTCTGCCTCCCTCCACTTTGTGAGGAAGCCAGATAAATGGCGCACATTCGATTGCAGTGCATTCGCAATTTATTTGGTGGTGAGACATGCAACAACCCAATTACACACAATCATGCAAAACCATGCAAGCGGTGGGTCCGATATTAGGCGTTAATGAAATGTAACCCGGTGGCATTCACTGCTCCCCACCGCTGAGCCGCTGCCTCGGTTGAAATGGAAATGCACGTTTATTTCTGGCTCTGACAGAATTGGCAAATCCCCCATCAACCACTACAAGCACATCCTGTAGTAAGGCAGTAATTCAAACCCCTGTTTAACGTGGCCTCTCTGTGTTCCACTGGTGGATGTGTTCATTTGTGAAAGTTCAGATTTAGGCACTACTGAAGCAGCTCCAGTTGAAGGAAAAGCCTCAGAGAAGACAAACCAACAGAGGACTGCAGGGCTCCTTTGGCTTTTTTGTTGTCCACAAGCTTGTTTTCAGCCAGGGCTGTTTGGAGGTTCTAGTAAATAAAAGATAAGCTCACGCTAGCTCTCCTCCTGCACGCTCGTGTTAACCCCCAAACGTACGCACCACCATCCCTGCACACCCTCAGTCCATTTCTCATCTTTTTCTTCTTTGTTTCTCCATCTTTACCCGCTCTCCTTTCAGAGGAGAAGCTAAACAGAAATAAGCCCCAAAAATGCAGGAGGGGCAGGAGAATAAACAGCAAGCTGTTCTGATTTGGGTCACACATTTTGCTGATTCTCTGGCTTATTTATAAATGCTAAAATAGATATTTAACTGCTATGTTTAGGTTATGGACAGGGATAAGATATTATCCCTGTATTTACAAAGCTTTAGTTTTAATATCTACTTTATTTTTCTCTACTTTTTAAAGGTTTTTTTTTTTTTGACATGATGGAATCACTTTTCGTTGGCAGCAAGGACAAACTACAAAAATAACTGTACCGGAAGGAATGTGGATTTTTTTTTTTTTAATCATTAGTTGGTGCTGCTCAGTTTTTATTTATATATATTTTATATTTAGACAGAATGTGGTTGGTCTGAATCTAGCTGACAAAATTCTGTCTGACCTTCAATGTAACTCCAACAAATATTATCTGAATCTGATGGTAGCCTGACAAAATAACAAAATTCCGTCTGAACCGACTGCAGCCCCACAAAATTCCATCTGAACCGACTGTAGCCCACAAAATTCTGTCTGAACTCGACTGTAGCCCCACAAAATTCTGTCTGAACCGACTGTAGCTCACAAAATTCTGCCTGAACTCGACTGTAGCCCCACAAAATTCTGCCTGAACTCGACTGTAGCCTCACAAAATTCTGTCTGAACTCGACTGTAGCCCACAAAATTCTGTCTGAACCGACTGTAGCCCACAAAATTCTGCCTGAACCGACTGTAGCCCACAAAATTCTGCCTGAACTCAACTGTAGCCCACAAAATTCTGCCTGAACTCAACTGTAGCCCACAAAATTCCGTCTGAACCGACTGCAGCCCACAAAATTCTGTCTGAACCGACTGTAGCCCACAAAATTCTGTCTGAACCGACTGTAGCCCACAAAATTCTGTCTGAACCGACTGTAGCCCCACAAAATTCCGTCTGAACCGACTGCAGCCCACAAAATTCTGTCTGAACTCGACTGTAGCCCCACAAAATTCCGTCTGAACCGACTGTAGCCCACAAAATTTGTCTGAACTCGACTGTAGCCCACAAAATCTGTCTGAACTCGATTGTAGCCCACAAAATTCTGTCTGAACCGACTGTAGCCCACAAAATTGTCTGAACCGACTGTAGCCCACAAAATCTGTCTGAACTCGACTGTAGCCCACAAAATTTTGTCTGAACTCGACTGTAGCCCCACAAAATTCTGTCGGAACTCGACTGTAGCCCACAAAATTCCGTCTGAACTCGACTGTAGCCCACAAAATTCCATCTGAACCGACTGTAGCCCACAAAATTGTACTACGTACTGTAGTACGTCAAAATTCTGTCTGAACTTAAAGGTGCGGTCAGCCAATCTTTAGTTTTTAAGTTTTCCGATTCTGTACCTGGTGTTGCATCAGGTTGAATAGGACTCTGGCAGAAATTCTTGACATATATTTTCCTTCCAATCAACATTTTCTGCTGGATTTGCTCTCTAATCTATAGTGGACCATGAGAAGTAAGTGCTGTTCTTTCCTTCTGCTCCTCGAATCTGTCTGTGAAGTCGCAGGTGTGGGTGCAGGTGCATATGCAGACAGAAACGATGACGCATGTCAGACACTTGCTGGGCGATAATGCTATTCCAGGCACACAGGGACACACAGACTGTTCTGATTCGGCCCCTCGCTGTCTCCTCACGCCCCCCGCCAGGTTCAAACGCTCACTCAAACACAAACTCAGGACACTCATCCACCCTCCTGTCAACCCCCATCAAAAAGAGCCTTTCAAAATCGGCCGCGGACGTGATGTGAAGGCCCACGCTTTTAGCACGCTGCTTTAGGTGGAAAATTGACTGCGTCCATCATTATAAGCCTGTTCTGTTCAGCGAGAGGCCGAAGCTGATGGATTTTTCTTTCTGTTCTTGGCGGCACTTCTTGTTCAAATGTGTCCTTTCTCCCTGTTTGACTCCTTTATTGCTGAGTGTGCATAATGAGGGCGCTCCCCAGAGAGCAAGGTCGGTTTGAGTTCAGCTTTAACAAAATAAACTATCTCTCCGTTCTGCCCATGAGAAATCTTTGTCGTGAGAAATGTGTTTACCCAGATTTTTCCACTTTTATTCACGCGCACGGTCCGCCGGGGAATAGCGTGTAACAGCTCAGCTCAGGGACGTCATTATTTGAATTCTGTGCTGTGAAGTGTGTAAATAAGACCTTGCCTTGTGTGCATGCTTGAGGACCTTTTAAAAGTTTGGACATGTCTACAGACAAAAGAAATTTTTTTTTATTATTCTCCACATTTTAGAATATTAGTGAAGATACAATTTAACACATGGGACGGAGAAAATAAAGATATTTCAATCCAAAAGCTTAAGATTATGTATTGTTAGATGGGCTCAAACCTTTGATTGGTGTGTTTTAGAGCCTAAAATGAATACTTCATTCTGAGGTGATGATTTGGTGTTGATGTTCTTACCCACAACGTAAAGAGGAGTAAAATCACCGTAACATATGACCCTGAGTGAATTACTGCTTTTATGGAACAGCACCATTTATGATGAAAGAAATCACCAAAATTAAATCTTTTTTAATAATAATACAAATACAAATGGGAGATTTGAGCACCGTTAAAAGTGTGCAATCTACTTTGCGTCATAAAACATTTGTATGACATGGAAACAAGCAGAGATTTGAGCTCAATCTCGCTTTAGTGCATGAAATCAAGCGCCAGCCTGTCAGCACTTACATATTATTTACATAAAGCACGCCATGATTCATGTAGATGTTTAGGTAGGTAGCCAACAAAATAACAGCATACAATGGCTTGTGAGCCAACGGCTGTGCTTGTAGGTGGAGTTTGAAGTGGAGCAGTGAGTGCATTGCTCCCCCCCCTCCCCCACACTGACCAAACTTTATAGTGTTAAAATTATGACATATGGAAGAATAAAATATGAAATACTTTAAACAAATAACATTATCTGCCAATGAAGCACTTACAACTTGTAACAAATGTCTAAATGTAATTGGGTTAATGAATCTAAATAATAATCTGAAAAAGAGAAATATTAGATATATTGAGTGGATGTAAGATTATTTCACTTGACAATATATCACCACAGAGTGGTTTGGTGTGAAACGTTCTGTTCTAGAGGAAACTTACCGAGTCAGAACTGTTCACAGTGGTGGTGATAGGAACCAGACGTCCACCTCTAAAAGCTCCCTCACAGAAAGTTACTACATGAAATGGTTATGAATTCACTGCCTGATGACTGAGACACTGTTTTAGGATAGTTTTGTGATAAAGTTTTGGCCTAAAATGACTTGTTAATCCATTTATTTGAATCCATTCATAGTGGAGGGATACATGTAGGACGTTGTGTGTTGAAATAGTCCACAAAGAAAACGTATTATTTCAGATTTTCCACTATTTCCCATCATCAACATTCCATATAAACTCAGAAGACTCGTGTAGGTTCACTGGTGGTTCTGGATAGTAAATAAAATGTCTATATTTGTGTTGTAGTCATGGCGACCCCTGGTTCCTATCACCACCACTGTAAAGACATCTGAACCATTTCACACCAAACCACTCTGAATCATTTACATCGTTTACCTCTCAACCACTCAATTATGCTGAATATTGAAAAACATCAGTGAAATGATGCCCCTTTAACAACCAGTGGTCAGGTATGGTCAAAAAACCCAGCTGTTATCAGCTTTAACAACATGGGTAGAACTTTTTTTTTTTTTAACCAATCAGACTGTGTGGGCGGAGCTGTTGTATAAAGTGCTATGAACACCTGTACATAATGTTCCAAACCTCTGACCAGTGCTGTATGTCTTCTCTGGGTTCAGAACCGTTTCCACCTGCAGATGACTACACGGGTTCCCCCGTCCGGCCTGGCGGAGCTGCTGCTGGCAGTGTTGGTGAGGGAGGGGTGGCAGGGGGGCGCTGCTGTCCTCTGCCCCGGTTCTGAGGATTCTGGGATATTAGAGCACCTCCAGCACCAGGGCAGGATCGGCCTGGAAGGGGCACATTGGCACCTTTGGGAAACACTTAATCTCTCCCACCGACAGAGGGCAGCAGAGAGCCGAGAAGAAGAGGACAATGGGGAAGAAGAGGTGACCAAGCTTTTTCATTGATTTATGTTTATTTAATTATTAATTTATTTACATTACCAATCACATTGACTCTGAAGACTACCACACATCGCACACTCTGCACAGCCAAATATTCGAAACAATTGTTTTTAATGGAGTTACGCACACCTAGCCAACCAGATGTGGCTCCTAGTGGTTGGTATAGTGTAGTGGTTGGTGTAGTGTAGTGGGTAGTGATTGTAGTGTATTGGGTAGTGGTTGTAGTGTAGTGGGTAGTGGTTGATGTAGTGTAGTGGCTGGTATAGTGTAGTGGGTAGTGGTTGGTGTACTGTAGTGTAGTGGGTAGTGGTTGGTGTAGTGTAGTGGTTGGTGTAGTGTAGTGGGTACTGGTTGGTGTACTGTAGTGTAGTGGGTAGTGGTTGGTGTAGTGTAGTGGTTGGTGTAGTGTAGTGGGTAGTGGTTGGTGTACTGTAGTGTAGTGGGTAGTGGTTGGTGTACTGTAGTGTAGTGGGTAGTGGTTGGTGTAGTGTAGTGGGTAGTGGTTGGTGTAGTGTAGTGGGTAGTGGTTGGTGTACTGTAGTGGGTAGTGGTTGGTACGGTGTAGTGGGTAGTGGTTGGTATAGTGTAGTGGGTAGTGGTTGGTGTAGTGTAGTGGGTAGTGGTTGGTATAGTGTAGTGGGTAGTGGTTGGTGTAGTGTAGTGGTTGGTGTAGTGTAGTGGGTAGTGGTTGGTGTACTGTAGTGTAGTGGGTAGTGGTTGGTGTAGTGTAGTGGGTAGTGTTTGGTATGGTGTAGTGGGTAGTGGTTGGTGTAGTGTAGTGGGTAGTGGTTGGTATAGTGTAGTGGTTGGTGTAGTGTAGTGGGTAGTGGTTGGTGTAGTGTAGTGGTTGGTGTAGTGTAGTGGGTAGTGGTTGGTATAGTGTAGTGGGTAACACCTCTGCTTTCTACACTGTAGACTGGGGGTCAATCCCTGCCTGGGTGAACACCCTACACTATACCAATAAGAGTCCTTGGGCAAGACTCCTAACACCACCTTCGCCTGTCTGTGTAAAATGATCAAATTGTAAGTCGCCCTGAATGTTGGTGTCTGCCAAATATCATAAACGTAAATGACTTTAAATTACACAGAGAAGGGCAGCCAGTCTTCATACAGACAAATGCTAATGGTCTGTTACCTCGGCTAACATTACTAGCTTAGCCTTTTTCAGCTTGAAAACAGCCTGTTTGTGAACTGAGAGTAAACTGACGGAGTGACGATGGATGTTGAATGAAATTAAGCTTTCAATTTATACAAATAAAGTGTAAAAATGATCTTGAACTTGAGATGTTTTGGCTCTCACTGCATGCATTATGTAGCTGCGCTCTGCTACGTGACTCTGCAGAGCATGTCGCGATGCAGCGCATCCGGTGTGCAGTGGCCTCTACACCATATCTACAGAAATTACATATTAGTTTTACAGTAGATGCTGAATAGTTGATAATAGTTTCTGAATAATTCATAATTCATAGTAGATCCGTAATAATTCATAATAGTTACTGAATAATCTATAGATACTGAAAAATTTATGAATAAGCTTATATAGATTATGGTTCCTGCTGAAAAACACAGCACCATCATCTAGTACTGGTCACAATGCATCATCGTGCTGGTTGACCGCATTTTCTGTTCTGTTCAATAATCCCTAATAGACTTGATTATGGGGTTTCTGACACTGTTTCACAGTGAAAAGTCAAAAAAATTATCAAAACGTCTGCTTTTCTGGCTGCTGCTGCTGTTTTTAGCTGTGATAATGTACTTTAGTCCTTGTTATACATTTCTATTCCTTCTGAAGATCAAGACTCTGTAGACTAACCAGCTGTGTGTCGGATATTTCTCAGTGGATTTTGCAAAATTTTCTACAATTAAATCATGAAAAAACTGAAATACTGATTGTTGGTACAGAAACTCAGAGAAAAATGATTTATGAGGAACTTGGTTATTTAGCTTCATCTACCAAACCTGAAGTACGAAACCTGGGTGTGATCTTAGACTCTGAGCTCTGTTTTATCTGCATGTAAACACAGACACTAAAGTAGCTTCTTATCATTTGAGAAATATCGCTAAGGTTCAGCCTTTTCTCTCTCAGAGCGACGCAGAGAAACTTGTTCATACATTTGTTACAGCAGAGTTGATCACTGTAATGGTCTTCTTACTGGACTTCCTAAGAAAATCATACATCCTTTACAACTCGGACAAAATGTAGCAGCATCCTAACGAAAACAACACAGAGAGATCAGATCAGTCCTGTTTTAAAAGAGCTGCACTGGCTGCCTGTATCATTCAGGATAGATTTCAAGGTTCTGCTACTAGCCTTTAAAGCTCAAAACAACCTAGCATCTACTTACATCACAGAGTGTCTGTCTGTTTATGTTCCAGCACGTAATCTAAGATCTGCAGATAGTGGCCTTCAACAGAGACCCTCTGTACAATACAGAAAACATGGAGAGACTCTTTCAGTTATTCTGCTTCTAAACTGTGGAGCTCAGTTCACCTTTTATTAGACAGTCGAGCTCAGAGCTCACTTTTAAGAAGCACCTAAAAACGGATCTCTTTAAATCAGCATTTAACTAAAACTGAACGTCTCATGGTTTTTATCTTTTAATTTAATTTTCTTCATTTTCTTCTGATTCTAATTAAGTACTAATGATCTTTTCTATAACTGTTTTATCACCTGTCTGTAAAGCACTTTGAGCTGCCACCGACATGAAAAGTGCTATATAAGCAAAATTATTATTATTATTATTATTATTATTATTACTATTATTATTATTACTATTATTATTATTGTTTATAGAAAACAGTGAGTCATACAGTGTCAGAAACCACATAATCAAGTCTATTAGAGATACTGAACACCTCCACATGCTTTGATGTATGCAGTTAGCCCATGTTAATAAATGCTAGTAATAAGCTTCACAGTTACTAGTTAGCATTAGCCTCATAGCTCCAGTTTTAAACTAAAGAAGCAAACTTTAGACATCAAACATGTCTCGGCTGATCATTTGTGGTAAAAAGGGAATGAGGGTCAAGTTCATTTGAATTTTTGCCCAATCTGTTCTTTAAAGGGTTTAAATTGATTAAATAAAAATAAAGTCCGCACAGTTTTCTTGTTTTTAGGTGACCGAGCTCCTCTCCCAACTCTTGAGCCGGACCCCCTCCGCGCTGGCCTCCAGCGTCCTCCTGTTCGGCTCTGACCCAGAGTGCGTGGCCACCGTCCTGCGGGGGGCGTCCCAGCTCAGCCTGACCCTTCACCCCACGCACTGGATCATGGGGTTCCCCCTCAGTCTGGACGCTCTGCACTCCATAGGCTCCCCACTGGGCCTGCTGGCCTATGGAGAGGTCAACCGCAAACCGCTCAACTTCTACATCCGCGACGCACTGCAGCTGATCGGCCGAGCCGTGTTCACCGCCACGGCGATCAGACCCGACCTGGCGCTCATCCAGAACGTGGTCAACTGCCTTGATAAGCCCAATAAACATGAGGTTCCCTCGTCCGGACAGTACCTGGCCAGGTAAGCACTCTGGTTCAAAGTGGGTTCCCTGCTGTTGTGATTTTGATGAAAATGTATTGTTATACATACATATAATTATGTAATAAACCTCTGAGAATATGACTGCATTTATTATTCAGTGCTATGCCCATATAAGGACTTACGGGTCTAAGCTCAAATCAAATCAAATCACATTTAGTGTCACAACATTTACACAGGTGCGAAGGTGAGTGAAAATCTTGTAGGACTTAAATATACAAAATATATTTAAGAAAATTCTAAATATGTACACATATACACAATATATACATGAATGTACACCAGTATATATTACCAGTATGATATGTACAGTTGTACACTTTCCATATATGCAATTTACAGGGTGATTTAAAAAGATTCATCTGATTTCAAAATGATTAACTCCAGTTGTACAGACAACATCAACACCATAGTCAAACTCATCCCATACTGGATTGAGCATGTCGGGTGTCGCTGCACTCACGGCTCTTTCAGTGCGATTTCGGAGATCATCCAGTGTTGTGGAACCAACGACGAACGCTCTGAGCTGTTGGAGCTTCACTGCCCACGAAAATCACACAGCACAGTTATGACGGATTCACTCTTATTGAAGTGGAGAACGCAGAACGCTTTCTGCTCAGGGGTCTCATCTCCTCTCAGACTGAAGGGAGCCATCTTCCACTGACAGTCTCAAACTCTATGACCCCCTCTTTCAATTGGATTGTGATTGGTTCCTAGACGCCTCACGGTTGTAAAAAATATGGCTCTTTGAAATCGGATCAATCTTTTTGAATCACCCTGTATGAGTCTGAGGTAGATTAATGAGATGCAGGGTACACAGGGGTAGGAGGGTTGAGAATATATACATATTCCAGATTACAAGATTTGAATAGAAGATGAACAATATGTCAATCTATATGTGCAGGTATAGGTTGGCTAGATAGAAGTTACAGTAAGATTACAGTTAGTGTAGTTAATTAGGTCATTAATAAGCATTTATAACACACATACAGTTGGCAACAGTGACCTGCTGCTTGCCAAATATTAACTTACATTCATCTTTACTGTTAAAGCTCATTTCTGTCTGGTTTATATATATATATGTGTGTGTATATATATATATATATATATATATATATATATATATATATATATATATATATATATTTACATATATATATATATATATATATATATATGTATATATGTATATATGTGTGTGTGTGTGTGTGTGTGTGTGTGTGTGTGTGTGTGTGTATATATCCTTTTTTGCTTTTATACTTATTGTTCCTAGCTCCTTCTATAGCCCTTATGCTGTGTTTACATGTAAGCATTAAAAACTGTTATTTGCTTCACCAATGATGGCATGCAGCCATTAAAACATCGCCATAATAAAACTGAGAATGTTATTATATGTGCTGTTAGTTGTCCTGCTCCAGTTTATTATCCTCCCAGATCCACTGGAGACCCCCAAACTCCAGAGTTTCATAAGTATCAGTCTTCACTCCTAAACCGCGCTGGCTCTCCTGTGTGTATTTACAGCAGGCTGTTAGTCGGTGATCAGACCGCGGGGGGCACTTCCTCTGCGATGTAGTGCTAATCTGCAGCCGTGTCTGGCCGTGCCCTCTGCAGTCTGGATAGATATTCAAATGTATAAGTATCCAGACCATCAGGGATGTGTTCATCTCTAATTAAAAAGATTTTCATCCCTCCAATGTACACTGCTTTTCAAAGGTTTGGAATCACTTGTCACAGACAGTACTGTGGAAACATCATGGACCACCCTTCGTTTATTTCCAGTCAAAACAGACAGAATACAAATTATTAGTTTTTAGCATGAGGAAAAGAGCAGAAAACATTTCTGTGAGAAAATTGAAACTTAATTTAGTGCTGTTTTCAGTAGTCAGTGAGTCACTCTTCACCTTTATTCCAGCTTCTTTTCAGGAGACTCACTTTCAGTTCCTCAAAGAATCTGCAGACACACCTCCAAAGTTCAGTCTTAGAAGCTGGTTGATCATTTTCTGAAGTAATCAAACACGTTCAGTGGTGTTGAGGTCTGGACTCTGGGGTGGTCAGTCCGTCGTTCAGCTTCTTTGTTTGATGTGTCCGTCTCCTTTTCTCAGTGAGGTTCTTCTTGATCAGCTACACATCCTTTCAGACCCACAGCGCTGAGTCGTCTTCTCACAGTGGAAGGATGGACAGAAACACCTGTGGATGTTTTCAGATCTGAAGCAGCTTGATTTTCTCCTCTCTCTCAGAGATGAAAGCTTTAAGTGCTGTTTATCTGATGGGGCAGTTTTGGGGTCAACCAGCTCTTCCAGGTGGTTGTTAGGAGCCACATTTTCTCTGTAGCGTTTAATCAGTTTTAAACTTCGCTTTGACTTTCTCTTTCCCTACGCAAGTGGATTATCTTACATCCATTTTTCTCAAAAATATCTGAAAAATGATTAACTTGAACTTAATGACTAGTTTGAGTGGAAATTACATAAATAAATAAAATAAATGCACAGTACTGTATATAATAAAGTTATTCACTAATAACTGATGCAGTGTAGATTGCAATGTTTGAGACATAATTGAGACATGGTTAAAAAACATAGTACCAAATGTTATTACACAATAAACTGCAATTATTTGTTTACAGTATTAATAATTTCTTTTAAAGAAATGACTTTGAATCCTTATTTGATCAGTGAGATTTGCTCATCACAGCTAACTGCTGTGAAAATTCTCAGATAATGGGAAAACAGAAGCATGATCAAAAGTGCATTCTACTGGAACCTGATTAACTACATAAGTCTGTTACATTTTACCCCATTAGGCTTTTCCTGCTTGTTATGCAGTTACTGTACACAGGCTTTGATTGTTTACAGGCTCTCTAATTGGTCTGAATCTGTCTTTATGATCCATGCAGTTGTTTAGCGTTCTAGAAGTACTGACCATACTCATCATATTCTCAGAATAGAGCACTGTGGTGTAATTTATCCCTGTCATATTGCCTCCATCTGTTCATAACAGTATTAAATATTTTCTTGTTAAGATGGTGAAATGCTATTTCTTTGAAAATGCTGCTTTTTGAATATGAGAAATGGTTAAAACGCCCGTCCCGTCCTGGCAGAATGCAGAGCACGGCCCCACTGTCACAGGCCACACACTGACCTCTATCTAACAGGACACAGCTCAGTCTAACTAAAGCCTGCCAAGATCCGCCTCTGGCCTGTTAATGCCAGAATGTCCAGAATGTCAAGCTCTGCTAAATCCTCCTGTCCTTTCCCTCTCAGCCTGAATCCCCACCATCGCAATCATGTCTATATTAGCTGAGGACATTTATGAGGAATCTGTCTGAGTGAAAATGGTGCTTGCATAAATGGACACTATGGAATGTAACTGCACAGCAAAAAGTATCTTGGCAAGTGAGGTCATCTCATCTCCAGCCAATATATCTAATATTTTGCAGTATGAGATATTGTTATAAGAATGTAATAAGATTATCCTGAACATTTTTACTTGTTTAAAGTGATTTCATGTAGTAAAATTGGTCTCTGCTCCATTGGCAGATAAATTTGCCAGTCGTGACAGTGTAGCTTGGGGTCATAGAGGATTACAGGGTCTTAGAGGGTTATAGAGAGTTCTAGATGGTTACAGATGGTCTTAGAGGGTCTTAGAGGGCTACTGTGGGTTTTAGAGGGTTACATTGGGTCTTAAAGGGATGCATAGTCTTAGAGGATTGTAGATTGTCATCAAGGGTTACAGGTGGTATTAGAGAGCTGTATATGATCGTAGAGGGTTACAGATGGTCTTAGCGGGTTATAGATTGTCTTAGTGAGTGATAGATGGTCTTAGACGGTTGTAAATTGTTTAGATGGTTACATATGATCTTAGAGGGTTATAGACGCTTATAGAGGGTCACAGATGGATGTAGAGGGTTACAGGAGGTGGATCATAAGAGTTACATAGGGTCTTTAGAGAGTCTTAGACCAGGGGTGGGGACCTGAAGTCCTGAAAGGCCTGATTCCTGGACAGTTTGGAGATTTTTCTACTCAAGCACGTCCGATTCAACTCCTCTGCTAATGACCAGGTGTAAGAGGCGTGCTAGAACAGTAAAATCATCAAGTTGTGCTGGACTCTGGCCCTCAGGGTTACAGGTGGTCTTTAAGGGACATAGAGGCTATTGTGTTTTTAGAGGGTTGCGGATGGTTGTAGGGGTCTTAGAGGGTCATAGAAGATATAGTGGTTTATAAAGGGTTACGCATGGTTGTAGAGGGTCTTAGAGGGTCATAGAGGCTATAGTGGTATATAGAGAAATACAGATGGTTTTAGTGTGTCATAGAAGCTATATTGGTTTATAGAGAGTTACACATTGTTATAGAGAGCCTTAGAGGGACACAGAAGCTATAGTGGTTTATAGTGGGTAATACATGGTTATGGAAGGTCTTAGAAGGTCGTAGACACTGTAATGGTTTAGAGAGGGTTACAGATGGTTGTAGAGGGGTTTTAGATGGTTACAGAGGGTCTTTGAGGGTTATAGAGGTTTATAGATGGTTATAAAGGGTCTTATAGGGTTACATAGGCTCAGATGATCATAGAGGCGATAGTGGTTTAGAGAGGGTTGCTGATAGTTATAAATGGTCTAAGAGGGTTATAGAAAGTTATAAAGGGTCTTAGAGGGTAACAGAGGGTCAGAAAAGCTATTGATGTTTATAAAGGGTTACACATGGTTTTAAAGGGTCTAAGAGGGTCAATGCTAATAGAGGCTATAGTGGTTTAGAGAGGGTTACTGATAGTTATAAAGGGCCTTAGAGGGTTACAGAAGGTTATAAAGGGTCTTAGGGGTTTACAGAGGGTCATAAAAGCTATAGAGGTTTATAGAGGGGTATACATGGTTTTAGAGGGTCATAGAAGTACCATAGTGGTTTAGAGAGGATTACAGATGGTTATAAAGGGTCTTGGAGGGTTACAAAGGCTCACAGAGGCTATAGCGGTTTATAGAAGGTCATAGATGG